GTATGAATAATAATATATTAATATTAAAAAGCCAGAGGTCTTTGTGGTGGTTACAAAGACTGCAACTGTGTTGGCAATTCATTAGCATTAGTATGATGCTATTGTCATAGTTTATTACAGTTTTCAGTTTACTTTAAAAGCCTAGACAATTTCATCAGAAATACCAAAAGAATATTGTTAAGGATGAAGAATATTATTATGGCTAAAAAAATCCAGCCCTTACAATTTGGGAAATGTCAGAATGAAAGCTCTCTGTAAACTTTATGTTTATGGATTACACTGTAAGGTTTTAATCAATCACATACTCTTAATCTTTTTCTAGGAATAAGTTTGTGTTGTGTATGAAAGGAGAAAGGTCTTTGAAGAAGTCCTTACGTGTTTGCTAGAAATTGTATAGTGAATGCAACATTAGACTGTACGAAGGAAAAGGATGGTCAAGGCAGTTTAGTGCTGCTGTAACAGGAATAATTCTGTTCCTACCTCTGCAGAGTTCTTGTATGATAGGAGGCAAAAAGGCAAAGCTGTATTTCTCAGAGGTGGTCTCTCTTTATTATTTTTTTGAGTTCCTGTCTTACAAAAATGTGGTAGTATTTATACAAAATACTGTGTTTACTAATCCAACTGAAGCTAAATACACGTTTCCTTTAGGCTTCTAAAAATAATAGATACTCTGAAATACTAGAATTTAAATGTCTTGAATTGGGCATTCAAATCTAGTAGGCACTTCTGGATTCATTTTTCTTTCTTTTAACTCACCTTGCAGTAGATTCATGGTAATAAATGAATGTCAGTGAAGTATTAAATTATTGTAATGATGATTATCAGCTAAAGGTTTGAAAGGAAATTCATTCTGTAATCAGAATTATGATACTGTTTTAGTTGTATTGTGAAGGAGGCTTGAATGATGATATTGATCAGTGGTGAAAATGATGCTGATGTTGAACAATGGTGTAAAACAAAAAACTTGTTATGTTGTCATTAAACATCTGCCATCCACATTTTGTATAGAATGAAACAGCATTTAAAGAAAAAAGGGTGACCATGTTTTAGGGAAAAAAGGCAATATAACAAAGCATATGTATGTGGAGCATAGAAGAAAATGGAATTAGATTGCCAATGAGTGTACTTCTGGATTTGCAGGTATTTGAGTGCATGACTGAAACTGCTGAAATTAAGTTTCCAAGTATATATTCTTTGGCTTATTTTGTAAATCTTTAGATTTTAACTGTTAACTGTTTTAAAAGTTTGTTCTTGTTTCAGCTGGGATAGAGTAAGTTTTCTTCCTAGTAGCTGGTATAGTGCTGTGTTTTGGATTTAATATGAGAATAATGTTGATAACACACTGATGTTTTAGTTGCTGCTAAGTAATGCTTACACTAGTCAAGGACTTTTTCAGCTTCCCCTGCTCTGCCAGGTGCACAAGAAGCTGGGAGGGAGCATAGCCAGGACAGCTGATCCAAACTGCCCAAAGGGCTATTCCATACCATGTGATGTCATGCTCAGTATATAAACTGGGGTGACTTGGCCGGGGGGGGCAGCAATCGCTGCTCGGGGACGGGCTGGGCATCAGTCAGCAGGTGGTGGGCAATTGCATTGTGTATCACTTGTTTTGTATATTCTTTTATTATTATTATTACTTTCTCTTCCTCTGCTGTCGTATTAAACTGTCTTTATCTCAACCCACGGGTTTTACTTTTTCTTTTCCCAATTCTCTCCCCCATCCCACTGGAGCGGGAAGCGTGGGCAAGCAGCTGTGTGGTGCTTAGTTGCCAACTGGGGTAAACCATGACAAAGTTGGAAACATAACCTAGCAGAAGTGTAGCAAAAGTTTCATTAGCAAACTGGCTACAGTTGTTAGAAACAGTAATAAAGATTACTTCAGTCATCATGGTTTTTAATAGCTGCTTATTCTTAGCAAAACCAGAAATAAGTTAGCAACAAGTTTTGAAAATTGAAATCAAGCATATTTCTGATAGAATCTGATATAACAGGTTCAAGTACATGGTTCAAGCCTAACAAGATTGGCTTTTGTCTTCTTTCTGTGATGTGGAGTAGCCAATGTTTTAATGATTTGAATCTGTTGTCAATGTCAGGTTTTTTCAGAGCAGTATTTTCTTTTGTGCATGAAAATTCCATGTGTGTGTTTTAGAAGGTTTTCCAGTTACCATTTTTGTTGCAGAGACTGTGCAGTTGATCCAACTTGTGTGCTCTGTATGGACTGCTTCCAGAATAGCATTCACAAGAACCACCGGTACAAGGTAGAAAAATCTTTTATTAAGAAATTGTACATGTTGCTTTAGAGAAGATTTTTTGAGGATATAATAAACTGCATATAAACCATTAGTAATTTTTATTTAAAAAAAAAAATCTGGGATTTACTAATTAGTTAATTATCTCTCTCCCATGTTTCTAACTACATAAAGCCCGTTTTAAGAACAGTAACTTTCTAATTCAAGAACCAAAGGGTAAGTGAGTGTTTATGAATGCATACATTGTTATTCTCTTTGGCAATATCACAGAAGTGTATGTCAGAGCAAAAAGCTGTGACTGAAAATGACAGTCCTGTCCTGAGTCCCAGTCAGTACTGTTTGGAAATTTAGAATGAGTGTTCATATACAAGGGCTGTTATTTCAGCACTTGATGTCACCGATGCAGTCTCTACATTTCTACTCCGTTCCTCCATTTGATTTGCATAAACTACTTTGTGCTTAGTGTGGACTATGATAAAGTTAAAACAGATGTGAAGCATCAACTTTTTTATTGAGGAGATTGTTCTAGAACTGGATGATCTCCTTCTGATATCCTTTTGATTCTCTTTGAGCCAAATCTATGTTATCTTTGAGAGATTCCCATGCTTTAATTAAAGAAGGATCTCTTAAATAACTCTTAGCTAACTCGCTGCCTAAACTATCATCTACTGTTTCCTTCCCAGGCCCTCTTCTTTGCTTGCCCTCTTCACTGAGAACTCTAATTTCAACAGCCTTGGAAGCAAAAATGGGAAACAATGTATTAAGTGTTATTTTTAAAGCTGGTCTAACTCTGCTGCAGGAGGCAAGAAAATGTACAGAAACATTATGTATTCAATTTAATTATCTTTCACAACCAAAAAGTGGGCTAGATTTTTCTTGCAGCTATTCCTTCTATTCATTGACATGATATCCATTGAAGAGATTTGTCTTGCATTATCACAAATCCCCTTTAAGTGGGTATGTTTTCAATGAGTTTGGAAGAAGATCCTAGCAATCTCAAAATTAACTGCAACTAAAATACATTGTTCTGCCTCTCTGTATGAGTCTTTGTATACTGATCTGAAAATGTATTGTAAATATTGATTCAAAGACGTACAAACCTACTTGGATAATGCAAATATAACTTACATATAGACACGCATGCGCACACACGCAGTTTACAGAGAGGTAAGATGAAAATCAGCGAAAATAGACAGTAATGATTACAGAGCAATTTGGAATCACAGCTGGGCTGAGAAGCTGTTGTCTTTTCCCTGTTTTTCAGTAACTTCTTCAGGCAAAACATCAACCATGGAAATAGGTAGTCAGATGGGAGCAGATTGGCTGCATTTCCATTTTAAAGATGCAATCTAAAGAATACACATGCTTTTTATAGATTCATAGAATAATTTAAGTTGGAAGGGACCTAAGGAGGTCACCTAGTCCAACCTCCTGCTTGAAGCACGTCTAATTAGATCAGGTTATTTTAAAATGTTTCAAGTAAATAACAAGTTTTTGAATGTCTTTTTATTGGGTCACTTAGTGTTTTTATAATTACTTTAGGATTGGGGATTTAGAGTAATCTAAGGATAATTATTTTTGCCTGAGTTTTGTCTGAACTTTTTGCCAAAATGAAGGGTCAGAATTTGTACTTTTCTGAAAGTGTAATGTTGCAAGAAAGTTAAAGTTGCAAGGATGTATTAAGATGCTGATTATATCTTAACTTTGGTTAGAAGTGAAGGTACTACTAAATGTCTGTTTAATACACACCCATTCTTGTTGAGAATATTTTCAAACTTTGCCAAGTAATTTGTAAAGAAGGCATTGAGCACCTTTGCTATAATTTTGCTAATAAAACCAGAAGTTATTATTTTGCCATTTATCAAGTGCTTACTCATCAGTCATAGGCTTTTTCACCTACTTTCTAGTTAAATTTGTTTAAGACTTGCATACTTCTTTGCAGCAGCAACTGTATTTCCTCCTTCATTTTTTTTCTCAAAGACTTTACATTTTTCCTCTCCTGCTTGTCTGATAAGTCTCTTTTTAGCTAAAAAAAAAAAAAAAAAAGTTTTTCCCCTGCTTGTTTGATAAGTCTCTTTTTAGCTAAAAAAAAAAAAAAAAAAGTGGTAAGTCCATTGGTTATGCAGTGACTCTTGTATTTTGTAAGTAGGTATTTATACTTATGTTTGACTTAAATAATGCATATTGCTATTTTTCTCTTGCTTTTTATGTGCATATTTTATGACTGAAATACATGGTTTTTACAGATGCATAGCTCCACTGGAGGCGGATTTTGTGACTGTGGGGATACAGAGGCATGGAAGGCTGGACCGCTGTGTACTAAACATGAGCCTGGAGCATCAGGTTCTGCAAAAGAAGTAAGAATATTGCTTAAAGTGAAAGAATAAATATTGTAAATACTGCCTTCTTAAAAAAATGTGCTTATTCCTGTATATGAAAGTATGTATACTGTATAATTCATGTAGCAGGTCCAGTCGAGTTGAATCAGGATTTCCTTGGTCAAGGTGTTTGTTGGGGTCAAATGTATATATTGGACATCCTTTGTCTCCAGACAGAAGGCAAGAACAATAGAACAGTTCCATCTACCTGTCTTGTGCATTTCTGTCTTTGATTTGGAATTAAAATGGTAGTCTCTTGCTCTTTTCTTTGCTATGTGTATTAATAGGTTCTTATTTACAAATAGTTGGTTTTCCAGTGGTTAGTAGAAGTTTAGATATGTATTTGATTTTAATAATTTCTGTTTTCCACATTACTGCATTACTGAGCAATTTTTTTTTTGGTCAGTTACTTCTGGTGTGTGATCTGTCACTATGACTAAAGTAAGTCCCTATGCTTTAAAACTAATCTCTTATGCTAGAGATTATCCCATGCTTATTGTACATCATAAAGCAGCATATTAATGAAAAAATGTGCCATCTGGTAAGTAGTTCTCAAAGAGAATGTAGGCAAATCAGTTGCTTCAGGTAAAATTGTTTTTTTCAGAGTCCTACGTTCTGAGATAATCAGGACAAAAAAGCCCATAGCATTAGCAAATAGACACCTAATTCCTCCTGGCTGTTGCAAAAGTACTGTTCTTTATGATCTGGCAAGAAATCAAATGGAAAAGGAATAAAGAGCACTGGTCTTACAGAAAAATGAGACAAAGTTTTCCTTCACTTGTTCATCCTTCAAAAAATCATGCATCTTAATGGATTTCAGAGACAAAAATAGTTGAAGCTCCAAGAAGGGGTCATCTGATTACCACTTGGAGCTTGTCACTGTAATGTTCACCTGCTTCTATGTCAGTAAAGTCTGTTCTGCTGTGCAGTACTTATCCATCAGTACTGTGCCGTCTGATATATGTATGGCTGATACCTACATATTACTTATGAAAACCTGTAATCAAAAGAGCCAAATTGTTTCCCCAATGTTAGAATACCCAAAAATAGCTACGGTATGGTTAATTTTACTGTTGTCACCATTACTACATGTGTTTAATACTCTTTCCAGCACGTTCTAGAGGTGTTCTCAGAGTAAGAAACTAGCACAGAGCCTCTTTGGGAAGTATTAATTTTCATCCTTGTGTTTTGAAGGAAAATAGGATTCTTTTTTGCAATGTTAGATTCCTGATACTGTTGATAAAGATGTATGGGGAACGTAGAGGACTCGTGTCTACCAGGTTCAAAACCACCTTTGGATACTACAGAAGACTTGTTGCAAGATGCTCAGTATCAGATTTCTAGCTGATTGCTGAGAGGTCCTTAACATATCACAAAGAGACTTTAGCAATGGTCTTTAAGACAAAATGTTCAGGTCTCAGTTGAGGATTAAGTGTTCTTCCACTTGAAAATTAAGTGTTTCCAGCCAAAGCATCTCCATTGCTCCTAGATAAGTGATATTACTTATGCCTCAGGTGACCAGTTTGTCTCACAGACAGTAGCTAGCATATATTATGGATTTCACCTGTGATGGCTCACAAAAAAACCCCCACACAGATACATGGATGAACGTGGGCCTATGAGGCACATGAAGAGCTTTAACAAAGATTCTAAACAAAATAGATTGTATCTCCCAGCTTTAAAATTTAGGTCTCTGTACAAGATCTTCTAACAGTTGTTTCAGCACTTTACTTTTGAGAATAGTAGTATTTTTTGGTTCCAACAACTGTGGTCAGAGTCCCTAAAATGGTTTATGAAAT